TACATCAGGGTGCATTTTTATCTTCTTTCACATTTCTCTGTTTTTATGACTAACTGAAAATAATAAATTTTTACTTTTATTTCAGAGTTAAATGAAGAAAATTAGGAGAATGAAGAATCGATTGAAGTTGAGGAGAGAAATCATGTCAAAAGTAGAGAAAAACCTTTGAGTTGCTCTGAAACTAAACAGAAAGATTTAAAGAAAAGAAGAGCCAAGAAATCTTTCACCTGCACTCAGTGTGGAAACAGTTTCACACACACAACAAGCCTTGATGTTCACATGAGAGTTCATACTGGAGAGAAACTGTACACATGTGATCAATGCGGGAAGAGTTTCACACAATCATCACAACTTAAGAGACACATGAACATCCACACTAGAGAGAAACTGTACACTTGTGATCAATGCGGCAAAACATTTTTGAGAGCTTCAGACCTGAAGCAGCACCTGAGAGTTCATTCAAAGGAGAAGCCACATTCATGTTCTTTGTGTGGAAAGAGTTTTACACGTTTTTCAACTTTGAAAGAACATCAGAAAATACATGCTGGTGTGAGAGATTACATGTGCTTTGAGTGTGACAAGACTTTTATTTCAGCAACCTTACAAGTGTTCACACTGTGACAAGAGATTCAGTCATTCATCAAGTCTGAAAAGACATGAGAGGATTCATACTGGAGAGAAACCGTATCACTGCACTGCATGTGGCAAGTGTTTCATTCAGTCATCTTCTCTACTCAGTCATACAAAAAACATTCACAGTAAGTATTCAAGATTCAGCTGAGATTCTGATAAAAATCAAAGATGGAGTTCCTCCCCAAATAACTGTCAAAACATTTTATTATTGTGCTTTCTTATTTTTCTTCACTGTTGTTTTTAAAATGACTAATTATTCTTCCACTTAAGGTGTATTTAGAAAATGAAGATGCAAGATACCAGAACATGTTATTTAATGGGCCCTTTTTTAATGAAAAAAAGAATACCATTAAAGAACTGGACTGATGTGCAGTATCGTGAGAATAGTAATAGTTAAAATCTTAATGATACCCAGGGCTCGAATTGAGGGGGGATGGCATCCCCTTGATAGAGAAAAATGACAAAAACATCCCCTCAGTAAAACCACCATCCCCCCTTACCATCCCCTTTAGATTAATAATGTGTATTATGTAAAACTTATCATGCAAATGAAATATTAAAATACTCTACTGATAATTCACGAACTAAATAACGGCAATTGGCCAATCAGAACTTGGTACTGTATGAAGCTGCGCACAGCTGAAGCAAGTTTTCGCACAAAATGATTAAAGCGCAACTTTTTATTTTTTTATTTTTTAAAAGAAGACAACAGAAGGTATGGCTTTTCCTTGATTAGAATTTAAAGACATTCCCCTGACATAATGTTATTGTACTGTATGTGTGACTGAGAGACGATACGAGACCTGACATTATCAAGTATGTCACCGACTTTGCAACAAACAAACAAACAAAAACAGGTCTTGTTCAAAGTCCAAAAGCATTCACTGCACAATTAAGCCTATTAGAATGCAGTTAGAATGCCCTTATACTTCAAGCAATGAAAGAAAAAATACCCATGTATGAGTTTTTGTTTTTATATTCATTGCACAAGCAATGTACTTTTCTGAATATCAGCACAAGTGCGCGAGCACAAATGTGCTATTAATTATTATTATTATTAATTTATTTTACAGTGCATAGGAACATGGTGTTTCGTTCCTTGAATAAATCAGTTTTTGAACGAATCTGTTTATTTATAAAGCACAATTAAAACAATGTAAGTTGACCAATGTGCTGTACAATCTCTAAATACTAAATACAAGGTATTAACTTTTAGGCAAACAATGACCAACAACAACAAATGTTATAAAAAAAGCCTCTTGCCTCTTGGTCTGCAGAACCAAACGCTAATTCAAGTAAATGCACTTTCAATTTTCGTTTAAAATAACCTAATGACAGAGCCAGTCTGAGACGTAGAGGTAGCTTATTCCAGCGCTTCGGAGCTGCTACAGCAAATGCCTGTTCACCACTCAATTTTAATCTAGTCCTTGGAATGTCTAGGATCATTTGATTTGCTGATCTCAGAGACCTGGGTGGTTTGTATATACGAAGGATGATTTGCTGACCTGGGTGGTTTGTATATACGAAGGAGATCCACTAAATATGGTGGGGACAAATTATGCAAATTATGCAATACAACAATCAATAGTTTAAAATCAATTCTGTACTGCACTGGCAACCACTGAAGTGATTCTAAAATCTGTGTTACATGCTGTTTTTTTACAAGTACCTGTTAAAAGCCTAGCAGCCGCATTTTAAACCACACTCTAAAAATGCTGGGTTAAATATAACCCAGTGCTGGGTAAAATAGGGACAAACCCATCAAT